AGCTAGATCTTCAGCTATGACAGGAATACAACACATAGGTTGGCCATGCACATGTGTTTGTAGGTGCGCATGCACACAAAGGTGGCATGAAATTAACCTGTGCACTCTCCCAGTCCCAGATGTCCTAAATGAAATTTCAGTTCCCAGACATGAATTACACAGACTGCAAATTGCTCCACAGTGCCAAAACCAGAGCTGGTGATCGACAGCGATCAGGAACAACCAAGTCATACACACTTTTTTTCTAGTTGTTTTTCCATTAAGGGAGATGGGTGAATATAGGTACCTTTGGAAGATTCCCACATAGTTTTGGATTAACCCTCTCCCGTTACACCACAGATGTCAACTGGATCAATGATCAGAAATGGATTTCAATGCTAGTTCTTGAAATGCTATGTAAAACAGTGAGGGCTCGTCTACACTGGCCCCTTTCTTTGAAGTAGGAATAAGACCCTCCGGAAAAGGGCACTTTTTCCGGAGGATCGGGGCCAGTCTAGACGCTCTTTTCCGGCTTTTTTAAAAGCCGGAAAAAAGCGGCGGACATTTTTATTTAAATGCCACGGGGGATAGTTAAATCCCCCGCGGATTTCCCTACGACGACTGGTGAAATTTACATGCCCCTTCCGGAAAAGGGGCCAGTGTAGACGTAGCCTGACAGACTATTCAGTTGTATGTAATACTTTATTGGATTTGCTTATAGCAGTTAAGGCTTTAAAAAAAAATTCACAGCTGTGAGTGGGTAGAACTTCTGACACCTAACCAGACAGGTTACCAGGATCTGGGTAATGTGACAATCTGTTATCATTAGCTCTGTTGGAAAGGTTCTGAAGATACTAGAGAGAATTAAATGACTTGGAAAACTCAGTCTATGGAAAAGTCTATTGTACTCATCTCCATTATTTCCACCTCTATGCATCACTAGAATGGTGGAACAGCATGATTTGCAGTGGTGAAAAATACAAAGGTCATTTTTCAGTTTTCCTTTTAGCTAGAGCAAGTCATTGAATGTTCACTAATCTTCCCTGCATTCTCTAAAGATTCTTCAGCGCATTCAAGATGTTAATCTTTGAAAAATCATCATATTTGGAAAAGAGCTCTATTTAAATGTCTAGCAAACAGTGTTTCTATTTCTGTCCTTCAGTGTTATGATTACCAGAATTTCCAGATGTCTAAAATAACAACGTACAGTAAAATATACTACATATCTAAGTTCATAAAATAGTTTTTGCTAAATATTGTGATTATTTTCCTTTGAAGTTTTAAAACAAGAGCACTTTCAATACAAGGCCAATCTCCTATTAAACCTAATTACTGTCCTTTGTGGTTTGCAGCAGCTAATATAGGTGAAGGATGTTAAAAAGGAGTGACATACAGTATTCTCAAATATTCCTTCATGTCCACTGAAGTCTTCTGTGTGTCCATTTTTAAACATATAATAATTTTGCAGTTCTCCCTGGGCAGTTGGTTTGATGTGAAGGGACAGTTTGTGGTGGGTCTCGGACACTTAGATTCACTATCTGTGCATAGCACCAACCAGTGTATGTGGCAGTTCCAACTTTAAGAGGAGTTCCCAGCATGGGCAGGAGCCTCATGTAGCATAAAACCACAGCAGCGGTTCCTAAGTCAAGCCTTGTGAGTCCCCAGTGTTCAGAGGAAGGCAGCAAGGCAAGGGCTTCCTTATGCCCCAGTGATCATTGGCTGTAAGGAATGACTTCTGGAGGCCATGGGCAGACAGTATAAAGTAAAGCAGCCCTGAGGTTGCTCTAATTCACATAAGAAACTAAATGGATGAATATCTGGATCAAAACAGCTTCAGAAATACGCGTGTGTTTGGATCCTGTAGTTTGGCTTGTTCAGCTCCAGGTACTGCTTTGTTTTGGGTTTGCACCATTATGCCTCCTTTTTATGTAACAACAGTATCAGACAATAGAGGCCAGATTCTGTCCTGCCCCCCTATCCCCATGTACCACATTAACTTCACTTTTTGGCAGAAGTGAAAATAATACAATAAGCCTCCGAGTGCTGCTCCGGTAAAGAGGAGCTCAGCTCCAGAAGGAGGCATTGTGCATTCCCAGTCTACCTCCCAGAGCTGTGCTACATGCTGACCATTAAGCAGCAGGCAGCCAGGCAGGTGAAAGTGGCTGGCTGAGGACCAGGGAGTGGGGGGAACCAGGGAGTGGGGGGAAAGTGTATAGTTTTCTGCATTCCTCTTCCTTAGGTGAGGGAGGGCAGGAGCAGATGAGTGGGGCACCTTACTCTCAATCCCAGACAGGGAAATAAAGGGGAGCAGCAAGCAACTTCAGCACCCCCACAACTCTCTTTCCCCCCCACCACACACACACAAACACTCTGATCTGAGCCCCCCCCCGTCCTCTGCACTGAGCCCCTCCTTACCCTAAACCTAATTCCTGCATTTCCCCACACTCCCTGCACCTCCCCACGCTCCCTGCCCGGAGTCCTCACCCCCTTACCTTTAGGCCCTTGTCCTGAGTTTCTCCTAACCTTCCACCCTAAACCCTGCACACCCCACACACCAACCCTCTGCTGTGACTCCCTTTTCACCCACTCAGCCCTGACTCCTGCACCCACACAGCCCCGTCTTGAGTCCCTCCACATCCTGACACTCCACAAACCCCGACTTGAGCTCACCCCCACACTCCTCTCCTCACTTACATTTCTTAGAGATATGTTGTATTACAACTCCTACTCTCCCTAGCCCCCCCACACACCTTCTGTCCTGAGAGCCCCCAAAAGAGGGGGTTGCAATATGACAGTACCGGTAAGAAATGTAAGTTACTTTCACCCCTGCTTTTTGATCATATGTCATGGAGCAGATTTGGATGTTCCCTTAGTTTTACTGCAGATGAAAATGTAAATTTCTAATTTGGCACTTAAAGAAAGGAGTTATTTTGTTGTTGTTGTTGCCATTGAGGCAAAAAGCACATTGATTCTGCTTTCACAGATGTGAGAGCAGACTATATCTTGGCAGGTTTTCAGGCTAGATCCTGAGTTATGCTTGGCACAGGTCAGGAAGGGATCTGTAAAAATGGCTTTTAACTACGATCTTGAGTGCCTGATCCTCATTTGCTCTGCTTTTACCCCAGGAAGAAATCCTGGATTCAAACACTCTCAGACTTTAAAGGAAGTTTAGCTCCAGACTAAAACTATGTGGTTTAGACCTCTCCCTAAATGTGTGGACACATTCAATTTATTATACTACACAAAATTATTAGCGAGCAGCAATTGATTTCCATTTCATTTTTGGGGGAGGGGTATCCTTTATTGTAGATTGCACTTTGAATTAATATTAAAGAGATGGAGAGAGATTTTCACTTTGTAGATCATGGGAATCCTGCCATGGGGGTAAATCCATAAAAATGTACTGATGCTGGCAACTCTCCAACAAAAGAAATTCTTTTTAGAGGGTTAAGCTAGAGATGGCTGCCCCAGTTACCATCAAAATGTTTGCTTCCCAGAGTCCCACACTGGAACTCACTTTAATATATAGATTATCCCTCAATAAATCCTCTGATAGTGGACCTAGTATGCAGAATTCAGCTTCAAGTTAAATTGTCAGCTGAAAGCTTGTAGTGGTTGCAACAACAGATCAGGTGCAAGAAAATGAATGAAATGGTATTGTATTTAAAGTGACACTGTGAATACTCTCTTTGGGTTCATCAGTTCTAATTCAGTTATGTCTCTTTGGAGTGCACCGTCTGTCTCATTTATTTCAATAGCTTTCTATTCTTCCCATGTAATTTTCAATTAGCTGAGTAGGTAGGTAAAACATCTGACATTACAACTGTGAACTATGCACTTTCAAGTCTGTTTGCACAGGCACGTTACACTTTAACAAGCTCCTTATCCCCAACCTGAAACTATTAATAGGTCAGCATAAAGGTTTTTCTAAAAAATTAATTAGAGGCATTTTTAGCTAGATGAACATAATTCATTCTTCTGGTGAGTGATGAAGAACACCAGTTAACAGGTAACCATAGAAATTTACTTCTTCATTCCATTTCCATCTGCTGATGCTTCCTCAATACATGTAAATTGGATATCCATCATCCATCTGGATAATGAACATTAGATCCAAAAGTCTCTTATCTACAGCTGTTGTACTGCATTGCTTTGCATTGTATTACGCTGCCAGCAAGCACCATGCATTTTATCTGTTCATTAATGCAGTATATTGTATTTACTTGAACATGTATGAAAGATCACAGTAACTTAATTTCAATATGCAAGAGGTTTCTTTCTGTTTATATTAAACACACATATAAAGACTCATACATACATACAAGTATACATGAAAATAAACACACAAAACTCCAGTGGTTTTAGGTGAAATTTCAAAAATAATAATATGAAACAAAATCCTTTACCTGAACATTTCTCTGTGGGCAAGTTACAATCCGAATCCAAACTTTATGGCTGATTCCCATCAACTCAATAGCAGATTGAATGAAAAGCCCACATCCAACCACATTCAGATTCTTGTGAAACCAGTATGAACTTGGTGTCTCAGGGCTGCCTCCAATGGGCTTCAGTAATTATATCTATCAGTTGCCATTTAACATGCAATTGTAGTGGTATGGAATTTGAACAAATAGCTGTTAAATGAACATTTTTACAAGTAAAAATGTAATCGATAGATTTCCAAAAAGTAAGTGGTATTAATTTCTTCATAGCAGTTAACCATTCTTACCATAACAAGTCTAAAGATTCCATAGGAAACTAAAGTTCCTAGTGAAGTGGGTGAGAATTTTTTAATGTATATTTCCCTGGAAGAAGTGATAAACTTATTAAGTCTAAATTTAACTCATTTACTTCAGCTGTTAGATACATTGCTCTTTTAACACTGGATTTCTGTTGACAAAAGGGTTTCTGTGACAGGTTTTAGTTTGGCAAGTAGATGAATGCCAACTATCCAACTTGAAATAAAATTGCTCAGCTAACTATCTAACTTGAAATAAAGTTGGTTTAAACATCCACCATACCTGAATTCAGCTATCAGCTGTATGGAAAGCGCTCTTCAAAATGGTCTCAGCAAATATTCCTTGTATGACTGATAATTAATGAAAACAAGGTGTTCAGCTGCATAAAAAATAGTAGAGTCCTTTCAGGTAATCTGTTGAACAGAATAAAAGGATATTATGTTATATTTGGAGCTTTCTGTCAGTTAATCTTTCCTTTCATAGGGAGACTGTCAGCTTAATTATTTGACTTTCCACTGAGACATTGTTCCTGATATGTTGTGATAGACAGCTGCTATAGCTACCTATGTGAAGTAAAGCATCTCCTCCTTTCTTGTTTCACAATGCATACATTATCACACTAATGTGACAATGCTTTGTTTTACACAAGCAAAAGAGCAATGATGTTTCTTTAAATGAGAAACAAGGGAGAATTCTTCTTCCTCTGTTAATATAATAGGTTTACGAATAAAACTGGGGACAAAAAATGTGTTTATACTAAATCATCTATGATGATAATATAGCCCCAAGTTATTGGCTCAGACTATCTGTAACAGGAGAAGTAATGAGTTAATGTTAATTCTTCTCGGGGAGGAGGGGAGAAGTAAAATCCAGGTGGCATCTCCCTCCTCATTGTCACTGTGACAGGTTGCAGTCATATAAGTCCTCTTGGGATTGTTTCCCAGTGTGCTAATCACTCCACTGATACCCTCTTTCTTGCTCTCTGTGGCCCCCATCACCCTTTCCTGATGGGACAGATCCTCTGGTCTCCCCCAGACAAGGCACAGAATTGGGTAACAACCTGTCTTCAAAGCAATGCAGACACTGATCTACTTCAGCTCTGGAATGACACAGTGTTAGGGCATAGCACCCAGGAAACCTCCCCCCCCCCCCCAAAATAAATGCCTTTTTCTGTGTAAAAGTTTTACACAGGGAAAGCTCATGCGGATATTCACCTTCTTTTATCAATGAAAGAGAGATATGGATAATGGTTGCTGCCCCCAGGTAACTATTATTTACAATAGGCTTAATAATAAACAAAAGTGATTTTAATAAGTACATAAAGTAGGATTTCAGTCACTGCAAGTGAAAACAACAAAATCAAAATAGGTTACTAAATTAAATTGTAAAGAAAACACATAGCTAGTTATAATCCCTAAGAAACTTATTGCATACAGATTCTTGCCCTAAAGAGCTGTTCTTATTTCAAGCATAATCTTCAAGTCAGAGACAAAATCTTTTTACTTTTATTTAGGCCTCCAGTCGTTTTTGTATCCTTTTAGAGTCTGTCAAGCCATCTCCCAGACCCGTGAAAGACAAAGAGCTGATAGCTGTCCATTGCTTAAATAAACTCTCCTCCCAAGGCAGGAATCTTTTATTTTACCTCTCCTCTACCCCCTCCAACTTCCATGGTAAAATACCACGTTCAAAAATCAATCATAATACTGGGTGATATGGTCACATGTTTTCCTAGGACAAACCATTTTCTGGATTTAAAGGACAAACAAGGAAGTCGTTAAGATGATCACCGAGTTATCAAGGATTTTAGGGTGAGGGCTTGGGAACCAGTAAGTGCTCTCATTGTCACATTTAAAACTGTAAACAGTCTCTTACTTCATATTTCTAACTTTTCATACAAGAATGATACATGCACAAAATAGGATATATTGATTCAACAGATTGTAACATTAACATTAATAATTACATGAGGTATTTTGTCCAAAACATCTCCAAGGTTGTGTTTAGACTTCAGGGTTTTTTTTTAAAGAAGTGGCCTTTTTTCGAAAAAACTTTACCTGCATCTAGAATACCGCCACGTTCTGTCGACAGTAAATCAAAAGAAAGCGGCAGTTTTGTCGATGGCAGTAAACCTCATTCTATGAGGATTAATGCCTTTTTTTGAAAGTCATCTTTCAAAAAAAGGCACTATTGCATGAAAACAGGGCTTTTTCAAAAGAGAGTGTGTAGACTCTCTTTCGAAAAAGCGAGACGCTTTTTTGAAAAATCTTCTTGTTGTCTAGATGCTCTTTTTCGAAAGAGGCTTTTTCAAAAGATACTTTCGAAAAACCCTCTTTCGAAAGAGGCTTGTAGTCTAGACATACCCCAAGGTATGCACATTTATAAGCCAATTTTTATAAAGCATGGGTGGGAACTGTCACAGTCAGCAGTTAGCTTTAGGGCAAATACAGAAAATAGCTTATAGGAACAAAAGCAGACAAATCAAGGAACTCTTTGTTTGTTTGTTTTAACTTCTGGACATTCCAATGTCTCTGTGCTGCTGTCTCTGTGCTGCTGGGTCAATTTTTTATTCCTCCAGCTTCCTGAATCTCTTTAACACAGATTCATTTTATCACTGCTTCTCTTTACACACTTCTCCCCCCACTCTGCTTCCCTTCATGTTCTTTTACATTTAGATCTTGCCAACTTAACTAATCCCACCTAAAAACGTGGAATTACCATAGCATTTGACACCATCACATTGTTTGCTCTGCTTATGTGTTATACTCCTGCCCCATCCTATGTCTGTCTTCTCTAGACAGTGAGCTCTTCAGGGCGGGACCTATCTGTTGCTACATTTGCACACTGCCTAATACAATGCAGCTTCATGTTTAGTTGGCCCAAAGGCCCCACCAAAATACTTGTTAAATAATAGTACTCGGACATTACATTTTGGACATTTGGGTGTGTTTTTTCAGAGCTGTATGTGTCTGAGTTTTTTCCTAAAGCTGGTCTGTCTACCTGCCTTTTCTTTTTTTCCTCTCTCCTTCTCCCTCTTCCCTCAGCATGTTAGGACATAAATGCTATATCAAAGCTCCCTGAATATTGTCACATGGGTGCTGCATTCTGTAGTAGACTGTTCATTTTGTGATAGCCCAAATGGAAAACAAGCCACTGAGCAGTTATCACTGAATTAGATATTAATATGAACAACACAATCATCATTAGAATCATTCATTCAATAAGCTCCTGTGGTTTTTGCATTTTTTCTCTCTGCATAGATCACAGATATGCATAGCAAATTGGAATTTTTACAAGTCAGATGCTGTAGTTAGGCTGCCACATTTACAGCCAGTGTGCTGAAGAAATGATAGTTCTTCCTCTCTACCCACTTTCTAGGATGGGGCAAACGAATCCAATGTCCCACCACTCCAATCATACTGCCTAATGGTTGCCCCTTAACTCCTTCAATCTGGTTGGAAAGGAAGAGATGGAGGCCTCCTTTAATTTATTCTTTCAACATAAGAACATAACATAAGAACGGCCGTTCTAGGTCAGACCAAAGGTCCATCTAGCCCAGTAGGCTGTCTGCCAACAGTGACCAGCACTAGGTGCCCCAGAGAGGGTGGACCGAAGACAATGATCAAGCGATTTGTCTCCTGCCATCCATCTCCAGCCTCTGACAAACAGTGGCCAGGGACACCAATTCTATCCCCTGGCTAATAGCCTTTTATGGACCTAACCTCCATGAAATTATCTAGCTTCTCTTTAAACTCTGTTATAGTCAACATGTTTCCTTTTAACATGTTTGCCAACAATATGTATTAATTATTATTATCATCTCCTATAAAAGACTTTTCTCTAGTAGATCTCAAGGAAGGTTAGTATCATTATCCCCATACATATGGGAACACTGAGTCACAGAGAAATGAACAGAGCTGATTAAGTTCACCCAGAAGTCCAATAGCACAACTTCATGTAGGTGACATTTTTAATGATCCTTTCCCTCCAACTGCATGATCAAGCAACCTATGCAAGAGTTTGGTAGAGAAAAGGGACAGATTTTGGCAGGACAAAAGTATGCATTTAGGAGACTTGCAGATTATAATTTTAATATATTGCAAATACATTTTAATTAATTATATTAAATTTAATAAATAAGCGGCAATGCTGGAATCTTCATCATTTGATGTGGTGATGGTTTTTTGCAAGTGGTGTAATTGTTTGTTTCTGTTGTCTGCTTCTTTGGGTCAGCACAGTAGCCTTTGGGTAACAAGCAATACAATGCTTTATGCATGTTTTGGGATTTCGGTCTGCCAAATCACAAGCTAACACACACAACCTTGTTATTATGTTAGTCTCTTTATTTTTGAGCATACTGTATCTTGTCAGATTCTTATCTCCTCTAAGTCCATTGCCAGGGAACCAATCTCACTCTCTAGCACAATAAAAAAGCAAGAGCAATCTTACGAGAGAAAGTTGGCTAGAGCTGCTATTACAGACTTCACTCCCACAGGATCTTCAAACTCGGTGACAGGGATGTGCTGCTGCAGCTTTCTGCTGCAAGAGCTGCCACTCCCGCCATCTCTACTGCTGCTGCTGTCAGGAAAATAACACCTCCTGAAAACCAATGTGGTGTCATAGCTGCTTGCCAAAAGCTGGTAATCATTGCGTGACAAACTCCTCCAAGCTAGGCTCCTGTGACATCTGTTTCCTTGGATTCAACTTAATTGAGGCAAGTGCTTGTTTTCAAATCACACTAATGGAATGTGGGGTTTTCTTGGGTTTGTGTTGAGGCACAGATGAGATTTTGCAGCTGTGTCACTGATCAGTGAGAAAGATAGGCATGTGATGCACTCAATTTTTTTGATTAATCAGGTACCAAATAACATGGATTTCTAGCCAATGAAAACTGAATATGCATCCTGTTTACAAGTAAACCTGGAAAGTATCCATAATTTAACAAACTGAGGTGAAATGCTAGTTCAGCTGTGTTGGTTCTGCTCAATTTTACTTACGTCAGTGTTTCCAAAGTGCACAGCTCAATAACAATGTTGCAAATTTCTACTATGCATTCCATTTGAAACTCTCAAACTGCTTTACAACTGTTTGTGAATGAAGCCTGTGAAGGACCTAAATGTTATTTCCATTTTAAACAGAAGGACACAATGGAACCAACACTGACCAACACTGAAGTGCCTCAGGTTTTGGGTGTCCAATATGAAACTTTTAATACCAGCCTGACTTTCAAATGTTGAGCTGCATTCTCCCCATGAACTTTAACTACCATCTAGTGTGCTCTGTACCCCTGAAAATAAATCCCTAGGAACTGGGAGTCAAAAGAAGACACCTAATGTTAGACCATGACTTGGAAAATGTGAGTCTAAATGATTTCCCAAAGCCAGGCAGTGAGTAACTGTCATAAACAGCAACAAAC